CATTCATCTACCGATCAGCTCCACCACTGGCCTTCCTGTGACAGTCCCCACCCTGGGGCCCTTGCTGCCCCCACCCCTACCCCCCACCCCGCACACACACACACAGTGGCCACTGAAGTGACTCCTTTAAGTAAAGTGACGTGCTGGAGTCCTATTCAGGCACCAGGCGTCGCTCCGTTCATTCCTCAGTCCTCACGGCTACTCCACGGGTGGGTATTGGTAGTGCCCCTTTGACAGAGGAGGAAACTAAGGCGCAGAGAAGCCAGGGCACTGGCAAGGGCACCTGCTTACCCGGCGCAGTTACGAGTGCTGAGCAGTAGGGGGTGCTCTGCAAGGCTATTGCAGGAAGGATCACCTGTCCCCTTTGCGCTGGGGCCTGCGGCTCAGCAGAAGGTGGCAGCAGAGGAGGGGAGAAATGGGGGAATTGAATTTCAGAGGGTCCTATGGCCATGCCAGAAGCCAAATTTGCCTTGGCCGTTCCTCCCCCCACCCAGCCCCCAGCAGGGGTGCAAACAAAGCTGAGTGGGCCGCCACCTGTTAGACTTGGGGCCTCGGGGTGTACACTTCCCTCTGTACCCCCAACTCCCCCGCAGGTCCCAGCCCGCATGAAGCACATGCCCAGAACACCTGGAGAGGCGGCCGCAGGAGGTGAGAAGAACCCAAGCCACCCAGGCCCCGGTTCGGGCTCCTGGCACAGGACCCTGGGGGCGCAATCTCCCCTCTTGGAGTTCCCCCATCTCCCAGGAGCCCAGCATGGCTGCCTCGGGACCTGCGGGACCTGTGGAACGGGGTGATAACTCCCACCTCCTCAAGCTCAGATAAAGCTCAGATGAGACACTGCTTATAAAGTGCCTGTCCTGTGCATGTTTGTATGTTTCCTCTTCCAGCTGCCTCCCTCTCCCTCTGGCCTCAGTTTCCCCACCCAGATGGTGTCCAGGACGCTTCCCAGCCCTGCCACTGTGTTTTACTGCTACCCCAACAATGGCAGGTTCATTTAAAAACAAAAACAGAACAGAACTACCCACCTTGATGCCCCGGGACTCATTCATTCTCTTGCAATCATCACAATCATCCATTTATTCACTCCTACCTATGTCCAGTTACTGATCACAGAGCACCCACTATGTGCCGGGCCCTGGGACACAGTCACGGGGCCAGGGCCCGGGCAGTCCTGAGACATTCAGATGGCAGAGAGGCCCTCAGCTGCCTTTGGAGAAAAGGCCTTGCAGTGGACCCCCTGCAGGGGTCCAGTGGTCAAGTGTCTGCTACCCAGTGCTGGTTGCTGCAGACGCCGATGTTTAAGCCAGGGACCACCTGCGGGAGCACCTGGGCATGGTGGTGTGATGACCACCCGGGAGCCTGGCAGCAGTGGAGGGCAGCTTTCTCTTCAGCTGTATCCTTGGTACCCTGCAGCGTGCCTATGCTCACACACCCACCTGAAGAGGAGAGAGAAAGGGCCGCTTGCGCCAGTGAAAGTTCGCCCAGATGTGCTTGGTCCTGGGGAGCAGGAAGCACCAGAGCAGCAATAACTCGTCCCTCCCGAGGCAGCCACGCTGGGCTCCTGGGAGATGGGGGACTCCGAGAGGGGAGATTGCGCCCCCAGGGTCCTGTGCCAGGAGCCCGAACCCTGGCCTGGGTGGCTTGGGTTCTTTTCACCTCCTGCGGCCGCCTCTCCAGGTGTTCTGGGCATGTGCTTCATGCGGGCTGGGACCTGTGGGCTGCTCTGCCCCCAGGGCGTCTGGTTCTTTTAATAGTTGTAGATGTGCTGCTGCCACCGAGGCGGGGAGAGTCTTTGGCGGTGGGTGGTTCCAAGGCAGGTGGGCCCTCCAAGAGCCAGAGGACAGGCCTGGCATTCCTGGCAAAGACATGGACATAGAACTGGTTCCTTGGTGTCTAAAGCAGTGAGACTCTGCTCCTGGGCAGACGTCAGGCGTGCTGGTGCCCACGGGACGGAGGCAAGGTGGAGTGCCTACTATTTCTGAGGGAGTAGATGCCATGAAGCCATCTGTGCAGCTACCTGCCAGTGGAAAGACTGGCAAAGCAGTTTGGCAGGGCCTGAGCTAGGAGCCAGTTGGACTCCAGCCATGTTTACTGTCACCTCCTCCAGGAAGCTGCCCTGATAGCCCGACGGGGAGCAGGTGCCTCCCGCATCAGGGTACTGATCCTCGCCACCCTAGATGGGGCCGGGCCCAGAGCCGCCCTCATCAGCTGAGTTGAAGGGAATGAAAGCATGAAGGGTGTTGTTGTAGAGGCTGCCTGTGACCTCGTCTCTGCTTCTCAACCGAAACTCCTTCACCCTCTCCCCTCGTCATTCATCCATTCACTCATTCAACAAACGTTTATTGAGCATCTGCTGTGTGCCAGGCACTGGGGATATAGAGCAGTTAACACAACAGGCCGGGCCCCCTGCTGTCCTGGGCCGACTCTGCGGCGCAGGGGACAGATGAGGAGCTGAGGACATAAACACAGCGACGCGAGGGGCCGTGCTGGGGAGGAAGATGAACAGGGGAGGGTCTGTGAAGTGGGTTCAGGAGAACCTGCGGGACTTGGGATTTGACCTAGTTGTTCAGGAACGGCCTCTCTGAGAAGGACAAGAGTGTCCCAGACCCAAGGAGCAGCAGGTGCAAAGGCCCTGAGGTGGGAGCAGTGGGGGTGGGAACCGGGGTGTGACCCTGCCTGGCTGAAGCAGAGCGAGGGAGGGAAGAGCTCTGGTGGGGACGGGGCTGCTTTCTGTCCTCGGTGGCCATCCTGGCTGCCTTTCTCTTACATGAGACGCCACCGCCAGTGAAGGGTCTAGACAAAGGAGCAGCGTGTTCTGCTGTGGGCTTTAACAGGTCCTGCCATTGGGGTCCAGACTCTGGGAGGCTTCCCAGCCTTCGGGCCAGGGGACGATGGGTGGCCCGAGTGCTCGGGGTCCTGCAGGCTGAGCCCACACAGCGCACAGGCGCAGGTGCTGTCCCCACCCGTGTCTCAGGGCTGTGGGGAGAGAACAAAAATGGGGCGAAGGGGAAGACAGCAGCTGCTGCTGGTTGTTGCTGCTGCCGGTCACCCAAGGACGCCAGACCAGCCCTGGCGGGAGAGCAGGGACCCACCGTCCAGGCAGCTAGTCCCCCCATTGTTAGTAGCTGGGAGGGGCCCTCAGTGACAGACCGGCAGGCCCCTATTTTGTTGCCCTTCCATTTCCTGGCTCCTATTACCTGCCCACAAATTCAATTTGCAGAGACCATTGTGCACCTCCGGAGCCTGGATTCTAAGGAAACCGGGAGCCGGGAGGAGGGCGCAGCAGGAAAGCGGGTCTGAGCCGGCACTGCCAGCCCCACCGCCGCCCGCAGGCCCCACTCCCCTTTCATGATGAACAATGATGGGTGCCGCTGCCAGGCCTTGGGGCTCCCCAGACAGGCAGGAGAGAGCCTCCCACGCCTTCCCCCCTCGCCCAGTCCCCCGACTGCTCACTCGCTTGCCCCCTCATCAGCAAATGCCAGGGAGCACCTGTGTCCTCGCGGAGGTCCCCGCAGCAAGCCGGGCAGGGTCCCAGCTGTGGCACGGGTGGGGGGCGCAGGGAGGGGCGGAGAGGCAGGTGCCATGTGAGGGGTCCCCTCTGAGGAGGGACGTGGGATCTCCAGCTGGGGGCTCGTTTCCCAGGCCTGGAGAAGCCATCTCGAGCAATGTCGTGGGCGCGTCCCTCTCAGAGCTTTGAGACCCCAGAGAAGTGGTTCCTGCCCCAGAAGGAAGGTTCTTGGTGGGGGTGCGGGGGCAGGGAGTCTGGTGAGAAGGAATCAGGCGTAGCCGTGGAGCTGAGAAGGGGCCAGCTTGGGAGGAAGGAGATGAGGAAATAAGCTCGGGTCCTGGCACCCCCCAGACTCCCCAGGAGAGACCCAGGGGTATGCATCTGGGCCGCACACTTGGCTGGGTTCTGAGGAGACCCAGGGAGAAAGACTGCCCACCCCCAAGAGGGGGCTCCCAGCCCGGTGGGGACAGAGACTACAGGTCACCGGGGAGACTCCCCAGAAGGCTACACAGGAGCAGGGGAGCAGGGGGTGGGGCAGCCTCTCAGCCGCCTCTGTACTCATCCGGTGACGTGTGTGGGTGACGCTGACACTGCCGAGTGGTTAGACTAGCAGAGGAACTGACGGCAGCCCCACCCCACCCCTCCCCTTCCTAGAACCAGGGCGGCTTCTCTGGCCCCCAGTGTCTCTGCGGCGCCCTCTGGCCAGTGTCAGAGGCTGCGCATCACAGAGGAGAGACTTAGTGTTGCACTCGGGTCTGATCCTGGCTTCGCCACTTCCTGCCTGAGTCCCCTTATTAGACTCACCTGTCTGTGGCTCCATCCGCTCACCTGTAAGAGACAACAGTGCCTGCCTGTGGGGTTGTTGAGCGTGCTAACAGGTGGTCGGCCAGTAGTGTCTGGGACCCGGAAGGCATCTATTTTGTGAGCTCCCCCCAATGCCCTTCCATGCCTTCGTGCCGTGTGTCTGCACCCTTCCCATCGCCTCACTGAGAACTCCTCTGCATTCCTCAAAGCCCAAGTCAAATGACCCCTCTTTTCTAAAGCCACCTCTGTCATCCCCGCTAGAGCTCTGGAATCCTTGAGCACCTCCTGTACCCCAGCCGCGTTTCTGGGACCCCTCCCAGGAAACGTCCCACATCGCTCCCACTGGACGTGGCCTCCCCCACGCCGAGCAGAGATTCATTAACCTCTGGGGTGGGGAGGGGGTGCCGACAGCTGGAGTTTCTGGGGTGGAGGGGAGGCGGCTCCCCCGTGGCCACCCCAGAGACTCACCAGGGTCCTTCTCCGCACCCCATCTCCCTTGACTCTCCCTGCCCTTAATTCCTCCTCCGAGCGTGTCTCTTCCCTCTTTGTGTCCCTCTCCCCTCGCTCCCTGCCGCCTCTCCTTTCTCTGTTCTGCTCATCCCTTCCCCTCCCCTCTCTGCCATCTCGTCCTGCCTCCCAACGCTCTCGGCTGTTCTTTTCTCCTCTCTTGCCATCTGGGCTCCCACAGAGCCCCCGAAGAAAAAGCGGTCTGTGGTGTTGGACGAGATCCTGGAGCAGCTGGAAGACAGTGAAAACGACAGCGAGGAGCAAACCCTTCAGCTGCGCGCTGGCACCGAGAGGGTACGTGCTCCCGGGCCTGGGGACAGGGGCAGCCGCTCCGGCTTCTTGCTCCCTGCACGGGGGGTGGAGGGCAGGGCCACACCGAGGGGCCGGCGGACAGAGCCAGGCAGCCCAGACTTTGGTGGTCCAAGGTCAGAGGGGGCAGGGGCCTCGGACCAATATCCTGACAGCCTGGGCACCCTGGGCCCGACACCTCGCTCATCGGCAAGTTCAACACCCCACCCCCACCCCGGCCCAGAGGGCCCAAGTGCAGGGCGGCCACACAAGGCCTGGAAGTCTCTCAGAGCAGCAGGCGCCCCCAAAGCTGCAAAACAAAGCAGCCCCACCTCACTGCTCCCTCATAAGTTCTCCCACTCGCCTCCCCTCCCAGCAGCCCTGAGGTGCCAACAGGGCCCCGTCCTGCTGACTGAAAAGTTGGGCTCCAGGGTGCACCACGGCATGGGCATCCCCACAACCCAGGCCCAGACCTGCTAGGACCGGGGTGAGTGCATCTCCCTGGAGCTGGGCCCACACCTCCTCCAGCCAGCTTGGCTGGGGACCCCAGCCCAGATGCCAAGATGCTCCTCACTGACTGGTCCCCACCTCACCAGGCTCTAGTGAGAAAAAAAATGCTGTAATAACCCATGAAAAACATGGGCACGGTGTGGGTGCGTCAGGCAGACTCCAGAAGTTTCATCTCGTCTTCCCTCCAGGGCTGCTGAGCTGCAGGTCCCAGCCACATCTCTCCCAGGGACTGCTCACTGCTTGGGCCTGGGCTCTGCCCTGCCCCGCCCTTGGCACCAACACCACAGGCCTGGCTGAGTCAGCAGGGCAACCTCGGGCCGCGACACGGCTGCCGGAGAGCACCCGGCCCCGCGCCACCGCCGTCCCTGCGCCTGGGCTCAGCTGACCAGACGTCCTGCACTCCCCGCAGCCGTGAAGCTGGTCGGGTCCCCGGCACAGAGTGCCCCAAGGCTCACCCAGGCATGGGGTGTCCAGCACGTGCCTTGTCCATCCCGGAGGTCAGCCTCCCCCAGCGGGAGGGTCTGCCCCACTGACCGGGGTCTGAGTCCACCTCGATATTCCCAGCTCTGCGGCCTTGGACCGGCAAGCCCGCTGGGACCTTGACTCCTCTCTCTGTACATTGGGGGTGATGCGCGGCCTGCCCCAGGGGTCGCACTTGGACTGAATCAGTGGGTCCCAGTAAAGCCCAGGGAACACACTCATCAACATTGTGTTTACCTCTGTGGGGACACTGGGTGAGGTTCCCTGCGGGGTTCCCAGTGGGCTCCAGGAGTCCTCAGACCATGCATTTGCCAGAGAGGAGGTCCCAGTCTTCAGATCGGAAACTGCACTGGGCTGGGATGCTTCCTAACCAGTCGCAGCTCGGCCCCGAAGGCACAGGCCCAGAGCACCTGCCCCCCGCCTTTGTAATGGGCCACCCTGCAGACAGCAGGTTGCCCACAGACTTCTGGGGGTGTCTCGGGGCATCAATGTCAAGCCCTGCCAGACCAGGCCTCCACAGTGCTGGGTCTACGGGAGGGCAGCTGGACTCCACCCAGTTCCTTCCGGCTGCCCATCCTTTTTCGGGGCCTGTGGGTGGGCAGTGCTGGCTGACCACACATTGGTATTCACATGTCCACACCACCAGTGCCCCAGGGGATGGTCCTTCATCACCCAAAGTAAGAGCGTCAGACCTGCCTGTGGGCCTGCATCAGGAGGCATCAATGGCACTGACTTAACTGATGGGTGGCGGTTCTGGAACCTTCCCAGAGCAGGATTTGCTGTCCCTGGTGTCAGCGGGCTGAGCTCAGTCTCTACGTTAAAGCCCCCCTGGGTTTTGGGCAGCCTCGGGAATGTGGGCCTGTCACTTAACCTTCCAGTTCTCAGTCTCATCTTTAAAATGGGGTGATGCTAACAACACCCCCTTTGCAGGCCCAGATTGCTTTGGGGCCTGCAGGATGTGGACCTGTCTGACCCCAGAGACTCAGGCCTTTAAGGTTCAAGCTTTCAGCCTTGCCCTCAGGCTCTGGAGCAACAGGAAGCCAGGCAGTCTTGGAGAAGCTGTTAACCTGAGGCAGGAACAGGAGAGAGGGCCGCCCCAAATCAGCCCCAAGCCCCATCAGTCCTTCCTGCCCAAGCCTGGCCTCTGTGCCCCTACTCTTGGGCTCACCGTGTGTGGCGGGGGTGGGGGGATAGGAGCAGGTAATTTGACTCCTGTGGAGATTTCAGGGTGCCCCATCACCCTGTCTTCATGCCACCCCTAGCTCCCACAGACACCTCCACGCTTATCTCCCTTCCCCCTCACCGAGGAGCTCTGCATTCTGCACGAGCAGAGGATCCAGAAGATCCGTGAACTGGAGTGTGTCCGTTGTAGCCTGAAACCCGTCAGGGCCCCACCCCACCCCCTGGACACACTTAGAATGAAGTCAGTGACAAGAAGGTGCTGCCTACCCTTGCCCAGTGCTCTGACCTTTCCGGTGCACGCACCGCGGACCCGTGCACCCGCCCTCCCTCTGCCGGGACGCCCCTCATTCACATTTCTCCCGACTGTCTACTTTTTCCCCTTGGGATCTTCATTAGAGATTCCCGTCCTCTTCAGAAAGGCCGCTTTCCCCGAGGGCACCTGCTCCACACCCGCTCCTGTCCCACTTCTCCCCTCCGCGCCCTGCTCCTTGCACAGAGCTCACCGTGGAGAAGCAGCTGCGGCTGTGGTCATGGCTATCGTAGTCCTGGTGATTCTGGAAGGAAGCGCCGGATCCTAGGGAGCAGAACCTGAGCCTGGGTAAAGCACTCAGCTTGGCCCAGAGGAGGGTCCCCATCCTTCCCCCCTTGGGAAGGGGCCACATGAGCACATTGCAGGAGAAACGCCTTGACCCTAGTGCGGGAGCCCAGCCTTTGAGACCAGGCAGCAGGAAGGTGGGGTCCGGGGCACTGAGTTTGCATGAAAGGACATTGGAGGATCAAACGCCAGAGGATCTAGGAGAGAAACTCCAGAAACACACCATGGAGGTCGTGCAGGGAGGGGCTGCCGTCTCCATGGACTTCCTGGTCCACAAGCAAACTGGTGGGGGCGGAAGACAGGCACGTCCACTACCAGAGGGGTCTGAGGCCCGCAAAGAGTCCTGAGAGAGATCGGACAGAGGCTGGCCCAGGCCAGGCACCAGAAGAGGAGAAAGGCCAGACCCAGGAGGCCGGGGGCCACAGGGCCAGGGGGCATCTGCTCTGGTGGGGGCCCTGGCTATGAGCGCTTGGGAGCAGGGCTGGGCAAAGAGACCGAGGCCCGCCCAGGTTTCTGCTCTGGTCCTGCAGCCTGCCTGCCCAGGCTCCCCTGCTCCAGGTTGCTTGGGGGAGAAACAGGACATTCCCCCACTTTGTCCTGCATGGAGAGTCCACACCCTTGGCTGGTAATACCACTGCCTCCCTGAGACCCTACAGTTTGGGGGTGCTGTCTTCCACTGGCCGCTGGCTCTGGCCTACAGTCCTCTCTGGAGCTGCTGGAGAGGCAGTGGGAATCTGAGCATCTGGAGGGAGCTGGTGAGGCCTGCTCCCCCGGGGCAAGGAGCACAGGTAGCTGCCTCTTGGGGGAGGGGCAGAGCAGAGGGAAGGGGAGGATTTGTTCTGTGCTCCTGGGGCTGCAGAAGGCCCAGCAGATGGCAACCCGAGAATGGCAGGAGCCTCGTGGTCTGGGGCAGCCAAAGGCCTGAGGCCCTGAGGAGGCCTGAAGGGTGAGCCGGGTGTTCACACACGGGCTGAGCCTTGGGGAGGAGAGGCCTGGGTGAGGGGGCCTGGCTGGAGTGCAGTAGCCACACCCTGGACAGAGCTGGGTGACAGGGAGCCCACGGAAGGGGTGGGGGCAGAATGCACAGGCCAAGGCTCCAGAAGGCCAGGGGGCACTCAGCCCGGCCCACTGCCTGCCAACCGGTCTCAGCATCTCCTGTTGTGATTCCAAATCTTAAAATGGGTGGAAAGCTACCTTAAAACGGGTGGGCTTTTTTAAAAGACAAGGTCCACACTCCAGGGCAGGAGACTCGGCCATGTCTCACGCCTTCTGAACCCTCCGCAAATGTAGTGGTTAGAGGAACATTTGCAGAGGACACCCACCTAATGCCCAGTGCCGAGGAAGTCAGGACATGGGCCTCCTGGGCCGCCTGGGGTACACAGGGCAGGACCGAGCTTGCCAGGGGGTGAGTCATGGTAGAAAGGAGTCTATCCAGGAGGGTGGCCCAGAGGTGGCCCTCCAGCCCCAGGACAGGCCCAGCCCGATCGGCGGCGCCGGCGGCTGAAGTGAACAGCTGGGCAGCACGTGAGCTTGTTCCCAGGGGGGCCTTTTGCTCCTATCCCTCTCCATGCTGGGGTCACCCGTGGGCAGGGGTGCCCTTGTTCCCATAGTAGAACTGACTTTTTGGGAGGCTCAGGCCGCTAGGTCAGCACGCCTTGGCCGGGGTGCAGACTTCGCTTGTGTAAAGAGCTTCCGTCAACACCCCACCGGCAAAAGCCTGAGGCCGAGGGTGACCTCAGGGCACGTGGTGGAGGCCGGGCCAGGCCCAGAGAGCTGCCTCCCTCATCCTGCATCCTCCTGCTGGTGGGCACTCGGGGCAGGGGCTGGAGTGGGGCGACCCTGGACCAGCCCTGGCGCGGGCAGCACCAGCACCTGGACTCGGGCCCGGGGGGCTTCAGCTTCTGGGGAAGGGTGAGCGCGTGGAGAGCTGTCCTGGCCATGCAGGGAGAGTGGGGAGGGGCAGAGGCTGCCCAGGGAGTCCTCAGAGCCCACTGCTAATCCTCTGCCCCATTCGCTCACTCACCCCCAAACACTCATCGGGCACCCCTAGGCACGGGGCACCACGCCGGGCGCCAGGGACCAGGGACAGAAGTGGGGGCGCGGGCCCAGCCCCACCCAGGCAGAAGGCAATTTGCAGCGGCCTGCGCCCGCCTTTCCCTGCTTGCCTCCCCTGCCTCCGTGGGTTTTGTCTTAGCGGCAGCGCCTGGCTGTGCTAGGCAGCTTGGAGGAAAGGATTAGCGCAAGCCGAGCATGCAGGCTTTGGTGAGCACAGCCGAGTTTGGTTTCAACATCTAATTCAATTTGTTCTGCCGAGATTGAAATATGAAATGGTTGCCAGTCAAACGTTCAAAGGACGGTGGAGGGAGAGTGAGCAGGGAGAGAGCGCTGCTGAAATTTAAATTTTAATGAAAATGACTTTAACCCTTTGGTGTACCCCGAGGAGGCCTGCCCGCGCCCCGCCCCTGCCGAGAGCCGCTGGGGTCCTCTCCTCCCTGGCTCTCCTGCGAGCCTGCCTAGTAAGCTGTTAAGAATTTTTTTCCAGCATATCATGTTTAATAATAAAAGATTAATGCAATACTTGCTTAATAATCACTGATTCTCCCCTATCGCCTCCGCCTTTGAAATCAGCGCTTTCCCGGAGCCCTCGAGCCCCCGGGGCCAGCTGCCCTGCTGGCCGCCCCCCAGACCCCTGAGCCCCTCCAGGCACCTGCTGCCTGGGTCTGTCCTTGCTCCTGGAAGGCAAGCTCGAGGAGGGCAGGGCGTGTGCCTGTTTGTGCCCGCGCAGCCCCACGCCTGGCAAGTAGGAGGCACGTAGGAGGCACGGTAGGTTTTTAAATACCTGATGAAGGAATGAACACCCCCCTCCCCCATATCCTGCTCCCAGCAGCGGTGGGAGGGAAGTTTATGGGACACTCAGAAACAAACAGCAGAGCCTGTGTTCGAGGGTGAATGCACTACCCCGCTCCTCGTCCTCGTGTTATGAAGGGGGGGGGGGGGGATGTGAGGCCAGGGAGGCCAGTCGGGGCAGGGGAATGGAGGCTGCGCTCTGACCTCAAGGCACCTAGAAGGAAATGCACCCTGTCTTGCCCCGCCCCGTGAGGCTTTTCCTGTTGAGCGCCTACTTGCGATGAACCCTAACGTGCCCCTGTGCCCCTGCCGTCTAGCTAGGGCTTGTTTTTTTAATACCATCCACTCCATCAATCCTGGGCGCGGGGGCCAGTGTGGCGGCTCAGGATGACCCTGGCATCTGAGGGGTCCAGGGAGGAGAGTGGGGGCCGGGGCAGCCCTCAGCCCTTGGCCTCCTCCACAGGGCCCCTGTAGGGTAAGGAAAAATATCAGGCTTTTCTGCCCTCCCGCCATCAGGATAGATGAGGGAACCCTGTGATCCTGAATGCATGCCTGATGGCGGGCACCTGAAGTGGGTCACCTGGGCTAAGACTGGGCTTTTAAGGGCGGCGTCACAGGGATGCCAGCAGCAGCAGAAGCCGAAGAGAAGCCAAGAGAGAAGCAGAAGCTGAGAGAAGGCCGGAGAGCCCAGATAGAGTGAGGACTTGCTGGGGGCTGGGAGACCTGCCAGCCTCCTGGCCCCCCAGCACCCTTACCTGCCATGTACCGGGTAAATCCCAATAAAAAGACCTGCAAAAAGCCACTGAAGACTCTGACTCCTCCTCTACCCGGTCTGCTGGATCAGGAAACCTGCACAGTGTCCTGTCCTGCCATTACAGCCCCACTGGGCTAAAGTGTTTTGGGGTGTGCCTCCCAGGGACGCATACTGAGCCTACTGCACAGGCACAGCACAGGCGTCCCTCGCAGGCCTCCGGGGCAGGTGGTGTCTTCCACTGCGGGGCAGGTGACAGGCAGCCAGGTGCTGGGTGTGTTGAAGGTGGAGCCTATGGGACATAGGGTTTGGCTCTGGGGTGCACACAGCGTGGCTGATGCCATGGTTTGGGGATGGAGCCTCAGGAAGAAGAGAGGGGTGCTGAGATAGGGTGGCTGCTGGAGCTCTCAGAGGGAAACTAGTTGGGCTTAAACACCTTAAGTTGGAGGAGACCATGAGCTGTCAGGTGGAGACGGAGGGTGTAGGGTAAGGTACAAGTATCAGGCTTTTCTGCCCTCCTGCCATCAGGATAGATGAGGAAACCCTGTGATCCTGAATGCATGCCTGATGGCGGGCACCTGGAGTGGGTACACCTGGGCTGAGAGTGCGTTTATAAGGGTGGCGTCGCGGGGACGCCAGCAGAAGCCAAGAACGAACAGAAGCCGAGAGAAGAAGAGAAGCAGAGAGAAGGCCAGAGAGAGCCCAGATAGAGTGAGGATTTGCTGGGGGCTGGGAGGCCTGCCAGGCTCCCGGCCCCCCAGCACCCCTGCCTGCCGTGTGCCTGGTCAATCTAAATAAAAAGCCTGCAAAAGCCACTGAGGACTCTGACTCCTCCTTGACCCGGTCTGCTGGATCAGAAAACCTGCTCAGTGGGCCTTCTTGCCCCTACAGAGGGCCTCCTGGTGGAGGTGTCTCAAGTCCAGGAGAAGGCTGGACCAAAGGCATAACAGGCCTAATGGGAAATTGTCTGTTTTTCCTTAATAAGCCTAAGAAATAATGTAGGGCACATAGCTCAGAAGTTACAAAGTCGTTCTGAAGCCACTTCTAGACAGTTCCAAACTCTTGCAACAGGAATCCTGTCCAGAAGCAGAACGTGTGTCCCAGCCCCTACATACCTATCACCCCCAGCACCTGAGTGGTTTGAAAACCACTGGCCCAATGTGTCTCGTGAAGCATGAACCAAGGCTCCATGGCACATATGGTGACTTTATGTGGCCTGTAGGGTAAGGAAAAAAATCAGGCTTTTCTGCCCTCCCGCCATCAGGATAGATGAGGGAACCCTGTGGTCCTGAATGCATGCCTGATGGCGGGCACCTGAAGTGGGTACACCTGGGCTAAGACTGTGCTTTTAAGGGTGGTGTCATGGGGACGCCAGCAGAAGCCGAAAGAGAAGAAGCCGGAGCAGAGTGAAAGAGAAGCCGAGAAGCAGCAGAACGAAAGCCAGAGAGCCCAGATAGAGTGAAGACTTGCTGGGGGCTGGGAGGCTGGCAGGCCTCCCAGCCAGCACCCCTGCCTGCCATAAGCCTGGTGAACCCCAATAAAAGAACTGCAAAAAACCGCTGAGGACTCTGACTCCTCCTTTACCCGGTCTGCTGGATCGGAAAACCTGGTTATTCCTGCCCTTACAGGCCACACTTTAAAAAAAAAAAAAAAAATGAGTTTTTCACGTGCATGTTACAAATACAAATACACAGCCAGCTCATCAAGCCTATGATTTCCCCATGGCTTAAAGAGGAGGTGAAATGAGAAGATAAAAAATAGTCAATCGGATAAGAATGTGACTATAATGACACAGAAGTGATAAAGAAGAGGATTGCACAACCCAAACCAGGGGCCAGCAAACAACAGCACCTGGGCCAGATCCAGCTGCTGCCTGTTGGTGTAAATAAAGTTTTATTGGCACGCAGGCACGGCCATTGGTTCCCATGCTGTCTAGACTGCCTTCCTGCAGCGGCAGCATTGGGTAGTTTCGACAGACTGTGTGCTGGGCATTTATTGGCCGGCCCTCTCCATCGTGTTTGCCAATCCCTGGTCTAAAGCAAACCCGGCTGACTTCGCAGCGAGCAGCTCCTACGGGCTTGGTCCCTGGCAGAAGTGCTCCCGGCTCCTTCCCTCTGCCCGGCTGCCCCGGCATGTCTTCAGGGCCATCTCCCTCTGGGGACCAGCACAGTCAGGGCCCAGCTCCCTAGGCTTGAATCCCAGCTCTGCCACTTACTGCAGCGTGACCTTGAGCTGGCTCCTGGACCTCGCTGTGCCTCAGGGTCCCTGTCTGGGAGCTGAAAGCAACAGAAGTCTGGACTCAAGGGGGTGGGACGTCTCAGTGAGCAAGCCTGAGCACTGTTAAGCATTTGCTGTTGTTACCCCAGCCCCCAACATAGGTAGTGCCCCCCATCATGCCCAGGCAGGCTCCCCAGGCGGCAAAACTAAAAGGGCCCTGCAGTCTAACTAGAGCATTGCCAGAAGCCAGGGCACAGCCCCTCTAGCTTTCTTAATGAACCCTATTTCCCCATAATTGCAGCTTTCACGGAGAAGACCCACTGGGGCCGTGGAGCCTTCCTTGGGCTCAAGCCAACAGAAAACATTTTTGTGCTGTGCCTATTTCTGGATGGCAGCTGCTCCTGCCTTCCCTGGGGACCATCAGAAGCCCACTCCTCTCCTGAACCCGCAAAGATTCCAGGCGGCGTTATCGGTGCCACCGCCTACGTCTGCGTGTCACGCTGCCGTCTACAAAGCACCCCGGGTCACCGGCTCACCTGAGCCTCCACGGACGCACAAGGCAGAGCCTCACCCTCTGCCCAGGTGAGGACACAGGCAGGGAAGCCCCCTGAGCTGCCCGTGGCGCGTAACCCAGGAGGGGCAGGCCCTCCCTCCCAGGCACCTACCTGGCCCCAGCACCCCAGTTAGACATCCTCTCCAGCCCCCGTGGCTCTGTGAAAGAAAGAAGGAAACTTAGTGCGTGGAGGGCCACATAACACAGCTGGACACCAGGTCCGTTGTGGTTCTCAAACCATACCCCCAGAGGAGCCCGTGTGCGGCTGAGCAGCTTGGGTCCAAGCCCCTTCACTCCCACCCTCTTCCAGTATCTCTGTTCTCAGCTCGGCTGCCCAGCCCCCCGGCTATGAGCACTTCACTGCCAGGTCACACGCAGCAATATATTTTGTGAACCCTGAAATGCAGACCAACTTCTCTAACCTGGCTTAGCCAAAGGAAATGACCTGGGTTCGCCTTCAGGGGCTTCTCGCTCCTGAGAATCCCGGGGTGCGCGGACCATGGGGTCCTTCCCTCTTCATCTTCCCATGTTTCTCTGGTCTGCTTGACCATCATGGTCAGAGCAGCCCAGGGGCCACAGGGAGCTCCCCTCAGCCGGACAGCCTCACCCCAGTCACCCTAAGGCGGTGAGTGCTCCCTGCACTGGGCACCAACCTCCGCCAGGGGCCCGAGCAGGCCGCCCTGGAGCTGGTTCTCAATAGCAGGATCCAGGTCACTACAGTCCCCAGGACCATCAAACCCCGTCTTCCCTGGCAAACGTTTGCATTTAGAAATAGGAGTTTAGGGTATTGCCTCATTTTCCAGCATTCTGCTTCCTATCCAGGCCCAGGCCTTCCTGCCTGGACTCACAGCCCAGAATTGGGGACATGCACCCCACTCCTGGCCGCACAGCTGGCACCGCCTCCTTTGGGGTGGGGTCGAGTTTTGCTCTGAGAAGCCCAGACTAACTCTGGTACCTGAAAAGCCCCCAATTCCTGCATCTCTTTACTCAGCCAGGCAGCGCCCCACTTAGAACACCACCTCCCCCTGCCCCCCACAGTAAAGCCGTTTGCAGAGGAAACAGGTGGGGAGGTGGGCAGGGGGCATGGGCAGCCTTGGCACTTTCTCGGGGGTGACCGACGAGGGTGTACTTCCACTGCGCCCTGTCTCACAGTCGGCTGCGGGAGAGGAAACTGCTGGACCCACCTGGAGATGAGGGTCCACCCCCAGACACCTGAGCTTCGC